TAGGGTAGAAAAAGCCCAGGGAAGAATGTACAATATGAAGCTGCAAACAGGGAAAGATCTGATTCTTTAGGCACTGCAGATTTTGTAAGGAGTTTAGTCATTTTCATAATAATGGAAACTCACTGGAAGGAAAATGAAGGGGACACCAAGAAAGTTTTATATCTGGCCCATTGATATGCTGCCTACAAGAGACACATTTAAGAAATGAAGAGAAAAGATAGATTAGAGATCAAAGGGTAGAATAAAAAACATTCCAAACAAATGACATCTGTAAGAAAGCAGAAGGGGCAAAACCTATGGCTGATAAAATAAATTTCAGGATGAAAACTACCATAACAAACAAAGAAAAACACTATATAATGATGAAAAGCACAATAGAAAACAGGACACAATATTAATATCTACCAAATTATAGACTTGCAAAATACACAAAACAAATGTTAATGGACTTAAAAAAATAATCAAACAACACTAATAATAGTAGTAGTAGACTTCAACACATCACCCTTGCTGGAAGATACATCAAGTAGAAAGAAACTCAACAAAAACACAAAAGAACTAAATTATACAATTAGCCAACTCCAACTCATAGGCATATTCAGAGAATTCCCCTCAGCAAAACCAATTTACATTGTTAAATGTATATATGCCAAACCAGGAGACACCATCATTCTCAACATAGAGCCATTAAAGGCATTCTCATTATGAAAAGGGACTAAGTAAGGGTGCCCACTACCACCACTTTTATTCAGTATTGTATTGGAAGACCTAGCAAGAGCAATTAGGTAAGAGAAGGAAATAAGAGCCATCCAAATTGGCAAAGAGGAGGCAAACGATTTCCATATGCAAATGATACAACAGTGTACCCAAAGACTCAATACAACAAAAATACCCAATCTGTTAGACCTAAAACACCATGTTAGCAGAGCATCAGGTTACAAGACCAACAAACAAAAATCAATTGGAAAGGGAAAAAAGTAACAAGTAAAAACAATACTATTTATAAGAGCCAACCACAGGGTGTACTTAGGAAAAAATGCAATAGAGACACAAAAGACCTATATAAGGAAAACTACAACACATTACTACAAGGAATCTAGTTTTTTAAAAAAAGTAGTTAAATGGAGAGATATCCCATGTCCATGGATAGGAAGACTCAACGTTATGAAAATGAAAATCATTTCATGAGCAAAATACAGATTCAGTGCAATCCTAATACAGATACCAACCTCATCTTTAAGGAGATGGAAAAGGCAATTTCTAATTCCATTTAGAAATGGAAAAGACCCTGTATGAGCAAAGATCTTCTGAAAAATAAAAATAAGGTAGGAGGCATTACAACTTCCTGACCTTAAAATCTACTACATAGCTATAATAGTCAAAATAGTGTAGGATTGGTATAGGCATATAGATCAGTGGAATAAAACTGAGAATCCATATAAAACTGAAATGAACCCATATACTATGTTGTTGTAATGTATCATTGAGTCAAAACTGATCCACAGCAAACCTTCCAGTGGGTTTTCAGAGGCTGTAAATACACAGAAGGAGATGATCCACCTTTCTTCCATGGGAAACTGGTGAATTTTAATTGCATGTCTCTGGATTGCAAGCATAGCTTCTTACCATTAGGCTACCAGCACTCCTTTAATATTCAACAAGGATGAAATCTATTAAATGAGGAAATCAACAAGCTTTTTAATAAATGGTGCTGACAAAACTGGACATCTACCTACAGAAAACTGAAAATGGGATGCACATATCACTCCCTACACAAAAACTAACTAAAAATAAATCAGAGACGCAAGGATAAAACCAAAAACTTTAAAGATCACAAGAGGAAAAATAGAAACAAACTTAAAAGCTCTAGTTTATGTTATACATATGGGTACATAGCCAAAAAGGCACAAGAAAGAGAAGACAAAATAGATGAATGAGACCCTCTAAAAAGTGAAGTCCTATATGCATAAAAATTTTTTTTACAATAGGGTGAAAACCTTACAGAATGGGAAAGAAATATTTGGCAGCGATGTTTCAGACAAAGGTTTCATAACTAATTTTACAGAAACCAGGTCCAAAGAGGAGAAACAGTTTAAAAGTGATATATGATAGGGTATTATGATTATCACAGGAATCCAGAATTAAGGTTGCATAGTGGAGTGCTTTGGGGGTGGGAGAGGGATTGTATACCAATGAAGAAGTTTATCTTTTGCTTTTCAAAGAGAGGAAGGAACTGGGAGGTGGGGGGGTGTAAAGAAAAAAGTGCAACAATGAATGAATGGAAATCCAAAATCTCTGTAAATGTTCATGAAAATTAATAAAATAAAAAAATTTTTAAAAGAAGGAAATCGATTACATACACCAAATTTGCAGAAAGAAATTAATCAAACATGCAACATAGATACTCTGATAACAATGGGTGAGTGGAATGCAAAAGTTTGGAAACAGGGAAGAAGAATCAGTAGTTGGAAAGCATGAATTTGGTAACAGAAATGAAGCTAGAGATAGAATGATTGAATTCTATACAATCAATGACCTATTCTTTTCAAACACCTTCTGTAAGAAACATAAATGGCAACTATACATATGGACTTCACCTAATGGTCTACAGGGGAATCAGACTGATTACATCTGTAGCAAAATCTCTGGAGAAGCTCAATATCAGCGGTGAAAACTAGAAAAAGTGCTGATTGTGAAACAGATCATCAACTATTCATTTGAAAGTTCAAACTAAAGCTAAAGAAAATGCTATCCACTCCACAAGAACCAAAGTTCAATCTTGAGTCTATCTCACCAGAATTTTAAGACCATCTCAGAAACAGGTCTGAGGTATTGAGTACTAATGAGCGAAGACCAGATGAGTTGTGGGAGGGTATAAACAATATTATCCATGAATAATGCAAAAAGTCATTACTAAGACAGAGGAGGAAGAAAAAAACCAAGGTGGATGTCAGAAGAGGCTCTGAATATTGCACTAGAGTGCAGAGAAGCCAAAGTAAAGGGAAGACATCAAGAAGTTAAGGAACTAAACAGAAGATTTCAAAGGGCAGCTCGGAAACAGAAAGTAAAGTATGATAATGTGTAAAGAGCTGGAGTTGGAAAATCAAAATGGACTATACCACTCAGCTTTTCTTAAGCTGAAGGAACTTAAAAATGCTTAGAGCAGCATGTTGAATGACCCAGGAAGCATCATGTGACACCTATGCTTGGACCAAAAGCAGTAATCAGAACACTGCAGGGAAACACAGTATGGCTCAGGATTAGGAAAGGTGTGTGTCAGAGATGCATACTATCTCCATACCTTTTCAATCTATATGCAGAACAGATCATTTTGGAGGCTGAACTTTATGAGGAGGAATGTAGCATCAGGACTGGAGGAAGACTCATCAACAATCTGCATTAGGCAGATGACACAATCCTGCTTGCTGAAACTGAGGAGGACCTGAAGCGCTTACTGCAGAAGGTCAAGAACTGTAGCTTTCAACATGGATTGAAGCTCAACATCAAGAAAACAGATTCTCACCTCTGAGCCAATTGGCAGCTTCATGATAGATGGAGAAGAGATTGAGATTGTTAAAAACTTCAGCTTGCTTAGTTCTACAATCCACATTCCTGACACCAGTAGTCAGGAAATCAAGCCTAGTTGTGCTGGGAAAGACTGTTTTCAGAGACTTTTCTAGAGTCATGAAAAGCAATGTTGTGAATCTAGAGACTAAGGTGTGCCTGATACAAGCCATGGTATTCACAATTACTTGCTATGCATCAGAGTGCTGGATGATACAAGAAAGATCAATGCCTTTGAGCTATGGTAATGGAGAAGAGTGTTGAAAATTCTGTGGACTGTGAGGGGAACAAACAGGTCTGTCTTGGATAGGGTGAAACCAAACTAATCCTTGTAGGCAAAGACTCTGAAGCTCCATCTCACATACTATGGGCAAATGGACAGGAGAGACAAGTCCTTGAAGAAGTACACTATGATTGGAAGGGTAGTGGGACAGCACAGGACAAGAAGACCATGGATAAAATGGATTGACAAATTGGAGAAACGGGATTAGGTCTGTAGGAGATGATGAGATTGGCACAGGATAGGGGATAGTGTATGGTTCAGAGCTAATGTACATACGATGAGTTGCAGGTGACTTGATGGCACATAACAACAGTAAAATAGTGCTTCCAAAAGAAAAAACCATGATAACACAATTACAAAATGGAAAAAAAGAACATGAAAAGATTCTTCAGCAAGGAGGATATTTGAATGGCCAATAAACACATGAGGAAATACTCAAAATCACTAGCGATCATGGAGATGCAAATCAAACAATGAGGTATCAACTCATTCCAGAAGCAATAGCAGAATTTGATAGGACAGCAAACAACAAATGTTGGAGAGGATGCAGAGAAATTGGAGTTCTCATGCACTACTAGTGGGGTTGTAAAATGGTACAACCACTCTAGAAAGCAGATTGGAATTTTTTTCAATAGGTGAACATAGAAATCCCATATAACCCAGCTATTCCACTGCTAGAAATATACTCCAAAGAAATTGGAATTGAGGCACAAACAGTGATAGGTACACTTATGTTTATCACACTGTTATTCACAATAGCAAAAAGATTTTAAACAACCCAAAAGCCTGACAACAAATGAATGGATAGAAAAACTGTGGTACATTCACACAGGGGAATACTATTGTTGTTAATGTACCATCGAGTCGCTTGCGACTCATAGCGACCCTATGTACAACAGCCCTAAACTCCGCTCTGTCCTGTGCCAATCGCACCGTCTCTGACACTCCCACCCCAATTATCCCAGTCACTGAATCAGTCCACCTCATAGAGGGCCTTCCTCTCCTGCGC